CAGGCTGGCGTCTGCCTTCCAGGCTGCTTCAGTGAGCGTAGCCCCGGCGGTGGACACAGTGGACAGGGCCCAGGGCTCAGGCGGCGCCTCCTGGTGAGGCTGCACTGGCTTTCTCAGACCGAGTTGACCGCACCCGCGTCTGTGCTGGACCAGCTCTGCCTTCCGCTGCAGAAGCGGAGGTCGCCTTGGGTGCAGCTCTCGCCCGAGCCATGGCCTTGGTCACTGCACCTTAATCGGACCGGGCGTTGGCCGGCCTCGGGGTTCGGGAGGAGCAGCCAGTTAGCTGGGCCAGCCGGCATCAGCTCTGGTGGGACAGGGCTGTCTCGTCTCCGGTTGGTTTTTGGACTTGTCCTGCAGCTGCTGTTCTCTCCTCCTTTGGGGGTGGTAGAGGCCTTGCTGGGGCAGCAGGGGCATAGAGGCGCGGCAGGGGGTCCTCTGGGGTGGCAGAGCAGAGTGCTCCAAACGGAGGCTAAGGCGCTCCTGGCGGCACCAGGGGTTAGGGTGCAGCCCTGCAGCTGGTTGCTTCCATGCAAGTTCGATCCCCAGCGCCGGAGGTGACCCCAGGGCGCGGCAGACTGCAGGCCGCCCGCTGCTCCCCTCAGCAGTGGACTTCGTCCATCTGCCTGTTCTGCTCCCCGCTCTGTCCCTGGTGAATCCTCTCACCCTCCGCATCTTGGCCTGCACCCCAGTTCTGTCTGCACCACTGGGACACACACGGGCAACGGCATTTACTGCCTCCACGGGGTGCCCACGGGGTCCAGCCCCGCGCCGCTGGAAGGGGGGCGCCGGCGCTCGCCTCTGGGGACCAGTCACTTAGGGGCCCACGGTCCCGGACTGCTCAACCCCGCCCCCGAGTTGTGTTTTTCCCAACTTGGGGTTTAAATATGCCTTTTTTTCCCCAAAAAGAAAACTTTCCGCTTTAGAGGAAAATGACTTCAAGGTTTTAGTGTGATGTCATTCCAGCTAAAAATTCTGTCCCAATCCGCCTGGGAACACGTGTTAGACTCTTACAGGATAAATCCCAACGACGC